AATATATATCCATGTTGCTTCACTTCTCTGGAGTTTATTGCCCTATCATTTGATGATAATTTAAAATAGATGATGAAATTTTAGTGAACTTCTCACAAAGACTAACTGTACAGGCCTAAACATCTAAAATGTTATCAGCATAACCATAAGAATAAATATATAGATAAGATATATTCACCTTGCTCCCCACCCAAATAATAAAAATATTTTCATAAATTTGATAAAATATGAAAAATAAAAGACCTTCTACTCATATTGGATTTTGTGTTAGCATTTTAGTAAGAATATATTTTCAAATTTTGATCTAATCTTGATGCATGTGCTAAGAATTGTTTCATGCTTTAAAGAGTATTTTTTTCACTTTCTGCTTTAGCATTTTCATTATGTTTTGGTTGAAAATAAAAGCAACGATACACAAAACAAACAATAAACATTACAAATAAAAATACAGTTTGGGGGAAGATTATTTTAACAACAAGAAATATTAACCAAATTGAGTTGAAAGTATCAAAATGAAGTAATAAAAAATATTTCTTTTTGTCTTTTCTTTGTGACATTAAATTGAAAGGTTGTTTTAAAGTCATACATAATATTATCAATTTTTTATCACATTATTGGATTGATTTGACCATTAATTTACAGTGAGAATAAGAGAAAATTCATATTTACTTTATGAGTGTTCTATAAAAATAATTTTGGAACTTCATATTAATATAGCAAAGGAATATTTATGCTTATTTTTATTAATTTGATTTTACAAAAAATCATATTTAAATTATTGAATATAACCAATTGTAAAGCTGATTATTCAAAGTGATCCTTGTTATTTTGAATTCTTATAAAAAATGATGAATGGGAAATCAGCACTGATTTCCTAACTGAAGGTGTTTAATGTAAAAGAAATTTATTTAGTTTCAAATTGTAAACATTCATTTCTTATTAAAAAAAAAAACATTTTTCAACTTTACTCCTTTTCTACTTCGAATGTGTGCAAGTCAAAATCTATCTTCATATGTAAAGAGTAAAAAATGGAAATGGGATAGAGCTACAAGCATGGATCAGTTGAGGTTTGACTTGTACTCAGAGTTCACTTTAGAATAAGAAAATCATGACAACAAAATCAAGAAAATGGTTATCTTTTAAATTGATAACATATTCAGTTTTCAAGTATCAAATAGAATGCCAGAAAGTAAGCTGTTGAACACTGGCCATTTCAATTTTATACAACGGAAAAAAATCAAGTCTTAAAATCTTGAAAAATGACACTCACTACAAAAACTGCAATTAACCCAATTATTTTAATTTCCTTTCAGACTTTGACAAAACTGCAATTGAAGAAAAAGTCATCTACTACTGTTAAAAATACTACAAAACTACAAGCAAATAAAACTTGTGGAGCTGATGAAAATGCAAGAAAACTAAACATAAGATATTAAAAGATATACTCACCTCTATGAAATGAACATAAGAATTACCAAATTAATTTATGCTGGAACTGTCAGTAGGGGAAGGGAAGGGAAATGGGATATATTCAATAGGAGAGGCACTAGTGAGAAAATCTAAAAGCAAAAGTTACAAAATGAACATTAAATCTCTTAATATCTATTAATATTGGCAGAGATGATAATGGTAGGTTTACAAGTGATTTACTTGTTAATGCTGTTTTCTACAAATATGATATTGTCATCAACAGTTTATGCTATAATAGATTTAAAGGCATATAGAGATGTATTTTTTGCACTTTAATTCTCAATAATTCTGTCATACAAAAGTTATTAGCATATTTTAAAATTAAGTTTTATAACAAAAACTCAACCAGTATTTGAATGAGTATCTGAAGCAAATTATAAGTCAATCTAAGTATAAGTATACAGGTGCATATAAGCCAAGAGGTTTAGTCATACATTGAGCAATGTAAAAAGTTAAAAGTTATTTATTAAATAAAAATGAGACTTTTTTTTATCAACCTTTACTTTACTGAAAATACTATTTTGTTCAGCAATCTTCAGGTAACTTGATAACTCCATTTTCCAAAAATGTTAATCTTTCTCAACAAAAAAACTGATCTTATGAAGTCTTATAGGAAGCTGAATTTTCTAAAGACCAGATGAAATGCTAATCTGAGGGTGTATATCTGGTGAATACAGTGAATGAACCAAGCTGCAACACTTTTTGCCTTGTCTTGAAAGAAACATAGTCTAGTATTAGGCCCTTTTTAATCCTGGGTACTTATAAAGGAGCTTATAGAAGATGCCCTTTCAATGCAATCATATATATATATAGAATTACATTATTTGAATGAAGACCAGCCTTAATAGTGGTTAATTTTGATCACCCCATAATCTCTTGTAATCCACATAGTTGTAATTAATCAACTTTTCATTATCCATCACAGTTTATTAAAATATTGGAACAATTTCATTATAATTTGGTTTTGAATTGCACACAGAAAGTAGATTTTTCACTTGAAAGTAATAGAATTATGTAGAAACCACACATCAAAATTGATTAACATAATCAAGCTGGTATAAATATGCTTTTCTTCACTTGTTTTGGCTATTTTGAGTATGTTGGCTATGATCTTTGTGTATAATGCTGATTATTCTCAAATAACAACATGATTTGACTGCTATCAATTTCAACAGGTCTACCATCACCATGGAGCATTCAGTAGGAAATCATCACCACAAAAATATTGCAAACCACTTTTGACACATTCACTCATTCACAGTAACTACTCTATAAAATGTACAAATCTTGTCCCCGCATTCAAATAACATATTTACCTTTCTTAAAATAAAATAAAGACATAATGTGCTAAAAATGTTGCTTATTTCCTACCATTACCAATGTTAGAATGAATAAACCAATTTTAACAAACATCTTTTAAAAAATGCTTTCTGGAATGATTAATTTTTTTTAATAGCTTATCAACCTTTTCTGGATTATTTAAAGCCAAAATCTATTTTGGTTTATTTCCTTTTTTTGTGAGATACTACTGCATCAACAATTTTTTTGAGAATAACAATGATTTTTCTAGATACAATTCCTACTATTTAACATATAACTCAGAGGTGGAGATGAATTTATACATTTCTCAAAGGTATCTGCACATAACTGAATGTAATGAATCTGACTGGAATTCAAACTTGGCTCTCCCATTTTTCATTTTGAGCTGCTATCCATTGCACCACCTGCACACTTTCTAGAAGGGCAGTTGTCATAATGCAACCAAACACGATTTTATTTTTTAATGAAGTTAATTAAAACTAAATACTTTTAATGCCATATTATGATGAAAATAGAACAAAACTTTAGCCAACACAATTTCTAAAATTTAAGTTCCAATTTCAGTGACTGTCTCATTTTATATGATTATCGAAGCAGTCAGAATACAAGAATGAAAAAATAAAATAAACATTTGCTATTATGCAATAAAAAATTTTATATATATTTTCACTTGACTCAAACAGATTAGCATCTTTGTAAGAAATCATGTCATGCTTCTACCAAAGAAATGTTTAAGATACAGTAATGTATTAAAGTTTAGTGATTTCAGTGCAAATATTCTGTATGAACAGTGCAGTTAGATTTAAACATTCAAGTGTTTTTAAAAATAACTGTGCAAATGCTATATGCCTATCAAGCTTTTATTTTCTTTCTAATAATCACATACAGATCTACAAGATTACTTTTCTGACACTCATAAATTTATGCACAATTATACACAATCACTATTCAACCTTCATGAACAGGATGGTCTTCTTTGATTTATACACAAAACTATTTGAGTAGCATATCTCAGGCTGAGCTTCAAGAAAAATGCAGATATGTTTTAGAAAAATATAAACAAAGAATGTCTTTTTGAAATGATTCAGATTTCACAGTGAAATTGTTTAAAGATTTATTATGCTTTTATTCTCCTCTAAAATGTTGTACATTCTACCTTGATTTAAATAAATGAAAAAGGACAGAAACTAAGTATAGAGAGGCTCTAGGAGAATAGCAGGCTTAGCAGAAGAAAAAATGGTTTTCAAATATATATCAAGCAAATTTTGTCATATCACAAACAAATACTGTCATACTTATCAACTAAAAGGACTTGTCTTAAAACAAAAAAAAAAATGAAAAGAAAAGCAGCAATCTACTGGAAAACCACGAGATGAGATTAAAAAAATATCTTTTAAAAATATTACATGTATCAACAACCTACAAGATGGCTAGATGAGAGTTTAATTGAATATCAAGGTAAATTAAAGAAGATAATATAATGTACATATCTTCAACGTTATTTTTAATTATTTAATATCATTTGGTAAAATAATATAGTCAGTTTTGATTTGGACAGTGACAGGTTTATTGAAATAGTAAGATTGAAACTAAGTCTTTTGATGTAGGAAATTAATTTGCTACTACATTAGCACAATCAGAAAATCTTGTCTTGGTTCAATATAGATTTAATATCAAATATACTTCAATCAGAATCCAGAGCTAGGCAAGAAAAACATGTTGCATATGTGATAGAATGAAAAAAGAAAACAACATTCATCACATAACCATGCACTCACAAATGCAGCCACACACTAATACATGTATCACACAGGAATGTGTGTGTGTGTATGTGTGTGTGTGTACCAGTTACTTGCATGTAGATGGTTAGATATATCAGTAACTGTTCTAATTCTATGTGACTGAAGAGAAATTCTATAAGATTGATTACAAATTCAAGCCAAATAAGTAAGGGTCAACTACAGAAAAGCCATGCAATGAAAGATTTCAATCTGTACTAAAAAAAACAACCTACTAAAGACTGAGTACAAACCTACACCCTACATTCATACAAAAAAAGCAAATAAAAATGATTTGGGCAAATAGGAGAATACCAACTGTGACAGACCTGGTCAGATTTGGTTAGGTCAGGACAGGGAGGGTCATATGTTAGTTGTTGAATACAAATTAGCAAGCGCAGCATAGAGATAAGGCTCTAGAGCAAGACATACCATGGATGCTTGATTTCCAGGGGTGGACCCCACAGGAACAGGATTCTTAGAAACCGCTGCAACGCTGGCCCGTCGCTTTGCTGTCTGAAAACATAGGCCAGCTAGAGGTTTAAGATAGGCAAGACATATGTATGGAACATTTTACAAGTTTTGCTGACTTTCCTCTAACAGTTTTACATACCAGAAGAAAGAGTTATATATTTATTTACTTAAGCGGGACAAGGATGTATATCAAATCCCAAAAGAGAAAATGAAACAATCCTTTTCCTAAAATGTCTGTGAAAAGAAACTTATTTTTTCATGTTAACATTAAAAAGGTTATTACAATAAAGATACATATAATCAATATAGAAAGTAAATGAAAAATATAAGAAAAAGTAATGTTACTATATTACAGAAATCCAATAGTTACATATTTAATAAAAAAAAAAAAAAAAAAAAATAGATTAAGAGAAACATTTAAAAACCTACTGAAAAGTAGAAAGAAATAAGTGAAGAGAATAAAGTGTAATCATATATATTACATATAAACAAATATTTGCACATACTTGGGAGTTAATATAAAGAGAGAGATTTATGATCCTATTCTGAAAAAAAAAAAAAAAGAAAAAAAGTGTATTATATCCCAAAATAAATTATTTTATATTTCCAAAACTCTTTAAGCTGAAGCATGTTTTCTGCCATTTGAAAAATATAAATAAATCACTGCCACCACCCAAGCTATATAACATGTATGTGAGTGTGTAATATATACAGAAACAACAAACAGAAACTTTTCTACACACGTTGTTTTAAATCATTCTATTAAGAAATATCCTTTTATTTTTTTAAAATTACTCTCAATCTTAACCCAACCCTGATTCTTCTGAACTGGATAGTACTCTTTATAGTTGTTGAGAACAAATACTATTCCACTCAAAATATTGTCAATTTAAACAAAATGCTTACTTCTTATACTATGAAATAAAGTCATTGGTTGAAAAATAAAATGTCCATTTGGGGAACTACAACTGTTGCATTTAAAGACAGAGCTCAGTCATAAAGTAAACAGGTTTTCACTTTGTTTTGTTTTTTTAATAATAATAATAGTAGTAGTAGTAGTAGAAGAAAGGAATGGGAAGTGCTTGATTTCAAATACAGATAAAAAATGTATTTTCATAAGTATTGTAAAATCTGCAATATCTCATAAATAATTATTGTAATTGTGGTGAATGAAACTGATACAAATATATGCATATTTTAGTTAATTTTTCTGAAATATTTGTGTGAAGATGAACCAATGTTTCAATGTTTTTTCTAAACAAATATCTGAAAGGAGTCATTATCATTATTCTACAAGTTGTTAAAGATTTTCATCATCTGAAATAAAGTGATAAAGGAAAAAACTTTTGAAATAAATATACATTAAAACTAAAAATTAAGAGCCATAAAATATTGAAACAGCAGTTTGTAGTGTCAAAAACATTCAAGAACACAATACTTCTTTGAATACAGAGGATTATTAATTTAGGCTGGCACCAGTTTTAGTTATGATTTCATACAAATTTTCTCTTCCATTCTCACTTGAGTAAGTTTGTCTTCTATAATTTAAAAATATCTCATAATTGGTAGTTCAACAGAATGATGACAGCAAGTCAAAAATCCTAGTTCTTCAATTTGATATTTGGATATTTGTTTTCATAATATACTTTTCTTTGCTGAGTGCAAAATTAAAATCAACAATTCTCTGAATTTCTTTAAATAATGAAATTTAAAGTAGTATGCTACATTGAAATTATCAAAAAGAATCAGATAAATATTGAGATAAAATAAATATTTCCAAATGTTGCAAAAAAAAAAAAAAACAAGTTTTAAGAGATGACAAAATTTTGAAATTTTTACAAGTGACCAAATATTAAAAGCTTCTTTTGAATAATTTTCAAATAATTATCATAAAAGAATAATCAATAAAAAAATATTCTAAGATGCAATCAAGTCATACAAATAAAAATGCAAAATGATCAACTGTAAAGCTGTTACTGACAGCAATCTTACCTTATAGCATGAATGATTTTAATGTTTATATGGCAAATTGTAAAATGCTCTAGTTTTAATGGAAAAGACATTTTGATTCAATTAGAAAATCATAAGGAATAATAGAGCATTAGAAAATGTGTGCCTTTTGTCAATCAGCAGAAAAGAAAATAAAGATTAAATTTACTTATGGAATAATTGATTGACTTTATTGACAAATAGTCACTCAATAAAATACAGACCCATACCAATATTAAGTTACTTTCTAAATGTTGTCTTTAAGAGAATAGTAAAATAATGTAACCTAAACTAAAAGATAATATCATTTTTATGAGCCAAAAAATTGGAGTTATTGCAATTTTATTAGCAATAAATATAAATTTAAAAAATAATTTTATTTATAAAAACACTCAGTTTCAGTAAATGAAGGAAATATATTGAGAAATATTAAATAAAGAGACATTCTTCAAAATAAAAATTAGTAATAAATGAGATTGTATAGTATGAGTGACTTGTTGAAGATTATCAATTTGGTTTGAATTCTTAGCGATCTTATTGTAGAGCACAGCATTATAATTTGATCATGGATATTATTTCTTTTAATTTAAACGTTATATTTTAAAACACAAGATTGCCACCAAAATATGTCCAGCTTTGTTCAAGATTCTACTTTATCATACAGAACAAAAGATACTTTTTTATTTTTCTAGTTCAGATATTTTGCTAATAGACAAAGTCAAAAGACAACATTTTGTCTAACTTGACAGATTTAATAATCAAGAAATATGACAAAACAGGAAAAGAAAGGCAGAAAATACATGGTGACATAGGTTTAAAAGAACCTATAACATAAAAGGAAATAAAACTAAAGCATAAATGAGACAATAAGAGATGCAGCAAATTTATAGCAACAGCACTAAGGCAAGGTAGCTAAGCTATACAAAATAATTGCATTAGTATATGAGTGCTAGAAAATAACTTAAAGATGCTATACTATAACACATCATGCTGCCTTGCAGATGGAAGGCCACATTGACTAAGAACAAAGAGGTCTAGTTACAAAGAACCTCAACTACTTACTACAAGCAATGACAACAGATTCCCCATCACACCTACCAGTTTAAAAGAAACATATATTCAGAGATTGTTCTGGAATATATTTGAGATTAAATCTTCAGTTATAAATTATTCTGCTTAAAAGATAACAATAACAAAGACAAAAAAAATGATATACAACAATAAAAAAAAACCCTTATGTTCTAAAGTTTGATGCAGATTTTGAAATTTGCATGTATGGTTAATTACAAAATATCAATTTGATAAAGACTAAAAAAAAAGAAAAAAAAGAAAGAATAAAAACTTTGGACAGCTTAAAAAAGCTTACAATGGAAAAATTGCAAAAATCAAACAAAAAGCGAAGATATTTTATATTCTTTAATTATTAATTTATTTCATGTTGATCAACACATTTTAGCTTGAAAACTATAGAAATAATGAGAATTGGGCCATTCCATAATTCTGTAAATAGAAGTGAAAAGTTGCCAAGAGAAGAATTGTAGAGCCACATCCACCAAACCATCAAATCTACCAACACTTAACTTGGTATTTCATTGAAACTGTTAATGTTAGGATATGACATACAGAAATAATTTTTTCTAATCTATATAAAAATGTCTGTAACAAAAAATTTATCAAAGATTTTTACAAAGCTATTGTCCGATATTTGACAACTAAATATATGCAGCCAAAAATTTATAATTACCAAAAACATTATTAGATATTCATATTCATATTTAAAACAATGGCAGAAAATTAAAATTATTTCTTACACCAAATATATTACATTTGAAATGTTTAAGTAGTTTGTTTATCTGATATTTAATTTCTTTTGACATATAAGAAAGTGGAATATTTACAGAGAAATATGAAACATGTTTTACAAATGATTAAAATACGAAAAGACAAGTAGTAAGAAAATTTCTTTTGACATAAAAGAAAGTGTCAAATTTACAGAAAAATATGAAACATAAAATAGGAAAAAACAAGTAATAAGAAAATAAAATGCAAAGGTTTATCATTTACTGAATATTGAACAGTTTAGTTATTTGTTGACTAGGAAGGATATTGTAAAGAATGAAAAGGAAAGCAGTAAGACAAAAACTACAGTAATTTTTTAACAGGTTTTATTGAAAAGAAATAATATATGCTGTTTCAGAAAGCTTATCCTTTGAAAAGTTCACAACATTTTTAAGAGGTTTTACAATGTTTCAAAAAGTAGAAATTTAAACTAAATCTTTATAAAATATAACAATGTATAAGCAATTCTGACTGTCGTATTGAGAAAATAAAAATGATTAAATAAAAAGTAAGGCTTTTTAAAGCTACTTTACTATAAACAAAAACTACATTTAAATGACTTATCTGCTATAAAAATTCACTATTTTATTAACATGAATTCTTTTGGTACATTGTCACAGCGAAATAACAATTCAAAAGTTAAAAGATATAAAACATTTCTATTGAAATGTGGATAGAAGATAATAGAACTACTCCTTACAAAGTGATCTATAATTGCAGGGAGGGTTTTTTTTTAAAAAAAAAAACTGACACCATAAAGAGAAGCATTTAGTAGGCTCTGATTTATTATATCTACATGTGACAATGTCAAAGAAATAGTAGTTCTTTGAAACAAGTGTAAATAAACAATGCAAGATAAAACAAACCTATCTAGTCATGTTGTTACTATATGCCAGCATTCTATACAAACTAAATCTTTGATAAGTATTCTAATAGAAATTCTTTATGTAACTCAGTGCTAACCTGTCTGGGAAATCAGCATTTAACATCATGACTTTTTGCTGGACTTGAATAATGATTACTAGCACCAACAGGAAATATGTTTATACATTAGCCTCCAAGATGGTCAGGAAGAAAATAATTATGTCATTCTAACAAATACAAACAATTTGGCTCAAAGCAATCTAACAAGAAAAAATATGTCTTGGTTCTTTACTTTTGTTGCTTTAAGAATCTCTTCAATATTACATAACAGAAAATTATTTAGTTTCATG